AAACGCGAAGCGCAGAGAAGACTTGCCCGGCCCTTGTCTTGCGAAGCAAAGAACTTACCGCAAAAAAGAATCGCGCGAAGCAATGTTGTTTGCCAAGAGAACAAACCGCCTAGTCCGTTTTCTTTGAGGCAGAAACATCGCAAGATCGCGTTTTTTTCGCGGAAACCGTTGCTCGGCCCCTCTTCTCTTGAAGCGACTCATTCCGCCAAAATCTCGCTCTTACGAAAGAATATTGTAGTTTTGCAGAAGAGAACGCCCCGGTCCCTTTCTTTTGAAGCGAGCCAACTGCCGAACAATTCTTCTGCGAAACAAAAGCTTGGCGCCACGCATCCGCAAAGTTGTTGAGGAAGATCGCTCGCTTGTCTGAACAGGCGAAGTTCGAAGTTTGAACGACCGCTCCTCGTTCGCAGCTTTTCGCAGCCCAAACGTTGCTTCGTCTCGCGTTTTACCATGACGTCGTGCCCGTCGTGATCTCAGACAGACGTTGCGAGCGTCACCATTTGAGCCACTGTCACACTCAGGCTCTGGGCGTATCCGGTGAAGCTTTTGCAGTGCGACCTGTCTTTCTTTGTGTCTGAAGAAGGGCATGCCCAATTCGACGCCGTTTTCTTCACACTGGGAGGCGCGGGCTGTTCAAGACAAACGCGGCGTTAAGGCGCGCAGCGCCCTGGAACCCTTGTGCGCAATTCGCTCCTCGCCTTGCTCGCTTTCTCAGATCACCCGGAGCAGACGGAGCAACGTCGTGCTGTCAGTGGGGTTCTTCGGTGGCGCGGAGGAGCAGGCGCTGTGAGACTGTCGTTGGAGCGGCAGCAAGTCAGAAGTCCTAGGCGCGCAGCGCGGGAGAGCTGGCAGATTGCTTGAAATCTTCTCCTTTTGAGCCCTCGCGCTCGAATTTTATTGTGCCGGTTCGAGTGTGGGCGAGGAAGCGCTCCAGCAGAGAATGCGAACCCTTGGTGTTCTAGGAAAGGACCGCGCTTTGCGAGAGAGAAAAGGCTTTGCGTGTGTAACCAGTTCAGTGTTCTTTGTTCACCAGCAAGGGACACAAAGTCAAGGCTTGAAGATGTGACAATCACTTTGCTCATGGCTGCTTCGAAATTCATGTTGGCAACCGGCTTGAGGATCCGAATGGAGAACGCCCGAGCAAAGACTTGAATCTGAAAGTCCGAGATGAATAGTTTGCGCAAAAGCCAAAGTCAATCGAGATTTGGGCGACCGGTCCCCTTTCTTTTGAAGTGCGGGAACACTTTACATTTTTTCACAAAATGCTCTTGGCAATTCCACGCGGATGCCGGGAATTCAACAGCCACGAACCGGGGCAACCCAAAGACCCGAAGACAGAGAAGCAGCCAGAGGCGGAGAAAAGTGGGACGGGGCAACCGTAGAACCGGAGAATCGAGCAGAAAGAAAAAAACCGGAGTCGAAACTTTGAGCGCAGGAAGCCAGGGCGACCGCTGTTTCCATTTCCCAAGTTGCGTTGTTCGCAGCTGTTCACAGTTCAAAGTTTGCATCGGCGCGCATTGCGGCGTGACTTCGGAGCCGTCGCAGCCTTACGCGTTGCAAGCCTTTCCTTTGTTGCCCGAGCCGTTCCGCTCAGGCTCGCGGATCTGATGTCGTGCCCGGCGAAGGTCTTGCAGTGCGATTTGTTTTTCAAAATCTCGGAGGAAGGGTGGGCCGAGTTCGACGCCGTTTTCTTCACCTTGGGAGGCGCGAAACAGACGCTGAAGACTGTCGTGGTTTGGCGACGCCAGGAGAGCGCGTGCTGACCCAGACGCACGGCGACTACCGACACTGGGGCTGGCCAGTGAGCTGGGACGAAGTGGTTTATTTTGCCCGCGAGAAGTTGGGCGGGCTCGTGCAAGTTTTGTTGGTTGGCAGAACAAAGCCGCTGCCAACCAACGCTCTGCTTTTAGATCCGTTGTGGCACGAAACCCGCCGGGTGCGCGAGAAAATGCCCCAGCTTCAGCACGTACAGCGCTGCTTTGAAGCGAACTTGGCGGCGCTGAAGCGCGACGAGCTACCGCAAGTTTCACCCTTTGAGCCCATGATTGACGAATAGCGCAAAACGAAAAGGGAGAAAACGCGCGAAGTGACAAAGTTCGGAAACACTTGGCGCGCCAGGGTTGCACAGCATTTGAGCGCGTGCGCAACGTGGCGTCCGTGTCTTGCTGCAGCCGCGAGTCTTCAGAGAGCACGCCGCCTGCGACGTCTTGCCCAGGACCAAATGCGTCAACAATCCTCAGTTTGCGTCTTGGCAACTCTTTGTGACTTGCAGGACGTCGGAGTAGGCGGGAAATGTTTGTGTCGCAGCCTGCGGTTGCGGCGGCTCGTTCAGGATTTCGGGAAGCCGCGCTCGCCGACCTTGTCATGGCAGAGGCTTCGAAGCTGAGGCGGACATTTTCTTTCCGATTGTTCGACTTAGGTTTTTCGCAGCAAGAGCGTCTCAAGGCGGGCCGACAATGTTCGAGCTCCGGCTGAGTTGCCGCTTGTCTTTCAGGCCTCGCAAAGGCTGCGCGGTTGGGCCCCTGTGCAAGGGCGGGCGGATTCTCCTTCGCCCGACAAATTTGGGCGAAGAGGGAAAGCTCTTGTTGCGCATCAAGCCCGAGGCGGGCGACGCCGTTCACAAAGAACAGTCAGCTTGAGTTGCCCGACGTTTTCAGAACGTGGCGTCCACGATACGCGATTTCCCAAAGTGGCTTCCCGCGCGCTTCGGTGACGCCGGCGGCGTCAAGGCGCGCGGCGCGTCGGAGCCCTTGCGCGCGCCGATCCACGCTTCGCTGGTTTTTGCAGATTGCCCGGAGCAAGCGCGACAATTTCACGCTGTCGGTGGGTTTCTTTGGCGACGCAGAGGAGCAGGCGGCGCGAGACTCGTTGAGCGGCGGCGAGTCGGAAGTTCTAGGCACGCAGCGCGCGAGACCTGGCAGATTGCCTGAATTCTACTCACTTTGAGCCCACTCACTCGAATTTTATCGTGCCGGTCCGCGTGTGGACGAGAAAGCGCTCCAGCAAAGAGTGCAAGGCCTTAGCGTTCTAGAAAGGAGCGAGCTTCGCGCGGCGCCGCGCGAGAGAAAAGGCTTGGGCGCGCAAGGGCAAGTTCGTCCGTGAGGGGCACGCGCAAAAGGTTCCGGCCAGTCAAGGCTTGAGGCTTGAAGCAAACGATGAGCGCTTTCCCCACGAGTCGCGCAGCCGTTGGCTGGTTCGAGAGTTTTGCTTGACGCGGACGAGAAGGACAGCGCTTTGTGCTGCGTGTGACAATGACTCAGCTTCGAATTTTGAGTTGAGGATCCGAATGGAGAAGAGCGCCCGAGGCGGGCTGCGCCCTTGCAAGCGCCCGGGCAGCGCGCCTTGCCCAGGCCAAGCTTCCAGCCCAACTGCCCAGCTCGACTTGCCGGAGGCGGGGGCAGAGCGCGAAAAGCAAGAGGAGTATTCTCGCGAAGTGATGCGCAGGCCGGCAGCTTCTGCCTGGCTTGGCCGCGGGTCGGCGACCGCGTCATGGTGACCAAGGAGTATTGGTTGGGCTTGATCTTGTCTGGGCGCAAGACGATTGAGTTGCGGCACCGAAGCTGCCAAAGAGGCTCGGTGTGGTTGGCCCACGACGGCCGCGTCAAGGGAAGGGCCTACGTCGCAGACGTCTTTGCCATGAACGACGAAAGTTTTGAGCGCCTCAGGCCGCAACATTGCTGGCAAGGCCGGCAGCCGTACGCCCCCGTCACTTACGGCCTGTGCCTCGAACGCGTCGAGTTGTGCCCGCAAGACATCCCCTACGTCCGCCTGCGCGGGTCAGTTGGCTGGAATGTCTTTAGAGAAAGCCCGGCCGACTTGCCGCCGAAGTCCGCGCGCGGACGAGGAGCCATATTTCTTTGCGCGACTTGGACGGCCTGCGCACTTTGCGTTTTGCTCAGGACGCTTTGCTCTCAAGCGCTCGGGCGAAGGCCGGGGGGAAAGCCAGCGCGAAGATTTGAATTTGGCGAGCGGCCTGCGCGCTAGGCAGCCGCGCGACGTCTGGCTCGAATTCTGAGGGCCCCGCCGCCGCGAAGACGACAAGGTTTGCGGCGGAAGGTCAAGGCAGCGCTGAGTAGATGACTCTGCCCTTGCCGTGTTAAGCAAGTCGCGGACCCCCCGGCCAGTGCAGTAGCCGGTTGATCGCACTTTCGCACGAGCTTCGCGGCGGAAAAGGTTTCGCCTTCGCGAGATGGGATGCCATTGCGCAAGCTCTTGCTGACCTGCGCGCGTGAACAACGCTCGCGCCGGCGGCTCAAGCGATTCTAGGCTTTCGTGAAAGTTGCTAGCTCCCAGCTTTGCCAATGACGGCCGGAGAAGTTGCGTTTGCAACGAGCGCTTTGCCAGAAGCGGGCCCTGAGCCAGTTGTCGCCGAGCACGTGGGCCCCAGCCTCAGGGACCCCGTTCTCCTGTTCGACTTGCCGTGGCTGCAATGTATTTTGGACGGACGCAAGACTCTGGAGCTCCGGGGTTTCAGGGTAAAGAACGGCCCCAGCGGGCGCGTTTGGCTTGGGGTGGAGGATCGCATCCACGCGGCAGCGCGTGTTGACGCGGCGGGGCCTTTGACGCTGGAAGAGTATCTCCGGCAAGCGCCCCAGCACTTGCATCCGAGCAAAACCCTACCTTTCAAAACCACGTGGGGCCTGATGCTGACCAACGTGCAGAAGCTCAGCGAGCCCCTGTGGTTCCACCGGCCTCCGTCTAGCGCGCGGCACTTTTCTTACCGACCGCCGCCCGAAGACGGGAACTGCTCAAGCAAAAAGAAGCGACGTGTGCTGCCCCTGGAAGCCGAGCACTTTGCGCCAGCTATTGAAGAACTTGCCGAGTAGAGCGGCTTTGCAGCTTGCCGCACTGCGACGCAAACCGAAGAAAAAGGCGTCTAGACTGGGTTGCCGCGCTTGCGCTGTTGTCTGCCAGGTTGCTTTGCGCTTCTCTCGCCATTTTGCCCAAGCAGCCTCCGCGCAAAGACCGGCCCCTGCCGGCCGCGAATTCCTAGCCCGCCCATGAAGCGTCGCTTCGCTGCTTGCCACGTTCAGCTTGGCGACGCCGGCAAGGTCGCCAAGCGCGGCGACGTTGCCAGCGTCGACGGCGAGGCCGAGTTAGTGGCAACCGTTCGCCCGTGGGGAAGCGCGACGTGGACCTTCGAAGACACCTCGTTGGAGACCCAGCTGTGGCAAGTGCAGATCTGCCACTCGGGCAAGAACGCGTTTGGCTACCAACTGTTGGCCATGACCCGAAGCGCCTTGCAGCAGGAAGGCACAGGGCTGCAAGCGAGCGACCTCAAAAGCTTGGAAGCCCAGGAGAAGGTGAAGATCCTGAACGGCGCCCCTGCCCAAATGGGGCCATCGGACCCTGACAAGGTCGGCCTCGAGCCTTGGCAGGTTGTTCTGTACGCGGCCGGCGAGAACGCCAACGCCGCGCTGCGCGTGGTGGAGCTGGTGTTGAAGTTCAAAGTGAGCAAGGGGCTGTTGACGTCCCTTCCCGCGTTGAGCGCTGTCTTCCCAGTCGATGGGTTTGACTGGCCAGACTTGCCTGCGGGCTGGGCGCGAAAGAGCACTTCAGAAGTCGAGTGCTTGAAGCCGTTCGGCGCGCTTCCTCCTAGGGGCAGACGCCATGTCTTGTGTCAGTTGGAGAAGAAAGAAGCAGAAGATTCGCAGAGCGCGGAAGACAAATACGATTTCACCTTCTTCGGAAACATCTACAACTTCCGCGACGTGTTTGAGGCCAAGGGCGTTCAAGGCGGATATGTGCCGTTAGAAGATGGAAACGGCGGCCGCGAGTACGTGCGGCTCTTGCGAGTGTCTGACACCGAAGAGTGTCGGGCTCAGATCAAGACCGTCCTGGAGGACGTGCTGCGCGGCGCCCCCGTGTACTTCATTGATGCGACGAACGAGAGCGACAACGTCTTGGTCCAATGGCTTCTGCAGCAGCCGTCTGTGCATCTTGGCGAGAATGCGGCAGAATAACTCGCCGGCTCTAAAAATCCAATCTTGGAAAGAAGGGCGCGCCAGTGCAGCAGGCTGCGCCCGAGCGCGCCAGAAGCAGGCGCGGCGCGCGAAAATGAGACCCGCCTTGGCTAGCGTAGCAGGCTTTGGTTTCGGCGAGCACGCCAGTGAAATTTTCGCGGCAGTGTTGTTCCTTGCCGGCTCAAGCTGCGAGCGCTAGCAGCGAGCCCCAGCCCGCCTTGGGCGTAGTCGCGAACGGCTCAAGATGCTTCCCGCGCCAAGACCCCGTTGGGCAGACATGTTTGACTCAGAAGACGAGAACGAGGACGAGCCGGGCTTGGAGGCGCTCAGCACCGCAGCCCCCTCGACGCCGGCGGCAAGCAGCTGGGGCGAATCCGGGGCCAGCGAAGCCTACGAGGCTCGGAGTTGCGCAAAAATGCAAAACTAGCTTGTCGCGAGCCGGCGCAAAAGAGATCGCGCCCTTGTCAGGACCGCGCGACGGAGATCGCGAGCGAGGAAGAACTTGCGCAGGAAGTCAAAGCCTTTGTGGAGAGAGCCCTGCGCCGAGAACTTCGAGATGACAATTCCCAAATGATCTTGTGGCAACAGAGCTTGCAGTGCGCGTGCCAGAAATTCGATTTCCCGTGCGCTCTCTGGAAAGAGTTCGTGTACGAGCTGCGGCCAATGCCTTGCACAGAGCTCTGCGCCTTTGCGCTTCTGCTCTTTCGAGACCCAAGCCCAAGGCTGCGCTCAGTGCTAGCCGCGTGGCAACTGCGACTGCAGTCCCTGTGCGCGCACGTTGCTTTTCAGACGCCTCTGCCGCGCGCGCTCATTTACGATTTGCGTATCGCGTGAGCAAGGCGAAAAAGCTCACAGAGAGACGGCTTCTCGCGAAAACGGCCTGCTCGAGCGCTGCCCGCTTTCGATGGAAGTGCTGGACCGGCTCGTCAAAGACTCGTTTGGCTCAAGCACATCTGCCCGTCCTAGCGCAATGGGGAGGCACGACTACGATTGGCCTGGCTCTTACGAAGATGTCCGAAGGCAAAGATTGCGTCAGCAACCCGCGTGTCCGCGCGCGCCGGCAGATGGTTGGAAATCCGCCCGACCAGCGACGCTCTCACCTTTTGCAGAAAGCCTTGTCGCAGCCCACTTCGTCGAGTTGCTGGGAGCGGCAGACACGCAACGACTTTTGCTGGCGTCCAAGTCTGTCAGAAGAGCCTGTCCGTCCACAGCTGAGAAGATTGAGGCGACCGCGAAAACCATCGGCCAGGCAGTGTCTCCGTTGTGCTCCGCCGGGATGCGCCTTCCAGGGTTTCTAGGCCCAGTTGCAACAACGTGCCGCGCAATCTCCGGCGCCGCTTCTCTTCCACAGGCGCGCGCGGCAACTCCCAACAACCATAGCGAGACGGCCATGGCGCGCTGGATGCAAGGCGCTGGCCTGGGCGGGTTTTCGCCGGCGGAAGCGGTCTTGATTATGAACGCTTGGCCTCCTCGCCTGCGGCACGAAGGCTGTCGCTTGAGCGACTTCTTTCAAGCTGCTTCGGCCAGGTTCTTCTACCGAGACGCGGTCGAGGATTACGATTTCGAAAGCCACGTGTTTGAGACCGTGCGAGCTGCCAGCTTGTGGATTCTCTTTGACTATCGCGGCTTCAAAGGGAAGCTCTGCGTGTCAGCTGCCTTGCCCCCGCCGTGAAAACCGCATTGAGTTTGTTCAGCCGCCTTCGCGTGCAGAACAGCGCGGCTGCCGACAGCCTTTCGCAGGTGGCAAAAAGCGAGCGCTGCTGTTGGCCCCGCCTGTGACTGCCCAGCCCGCTCCGCTTGCCTTCCACAGCTTAGCGTTGCAGCGTCGCGAGAAAGAATTTGCTTGGGCCTTCTTGTCAAACAGCGCAGTTGTTGGCAAGTTTTGCGTTTGTGCTCCAAGACGCTGTGAGCAGCGGGCCTTTTCAGCGCCTCGCAGCCCCCGCGCGGAGTCCATTTTGCTCAAATAGAGAGACTAGACAGCTGCGCAGCGGTCTCAACTTTCAACTTGAAACAAGTCGCCAGTCAGTCGTTGCCTCTGCGAAATTCCAAGAGACTGTCGCTTGTCGGTTGTCTCTGGACGTGGCAATGCCGTCAGAAAAGCACGACGAAGAAGACCGCGCGCGGCAAGAGCGGCCGGCAAGCAGCGCGCCAGAGAAGCGCGAGTGCCCCAGGTGCGGCTTGCCCAAAATGGGCAGAGGAAAAGGCTACTGCCGAGCGCAAGCTTGCCGAGAAGCAGATCGAGAGGACGCCTTGCGTCAAAACCTATATTTGAAAGAGGAGCTCGCTGCCCGGCGCCGAAGTGCAGGAGTTGGCGCGCGAGGGCCGTGGCCAAGTGCAGATAGCAGAGCCGCGCGCGAAGAGCGGCAGTGTGCAGGAGTTGCCAGTGCTCGAGGGCCGTGGCCGAGCGAAGATAGCCAAGCGGCGCGGGAGCAAGCCGCGCAGGAGGAGCGGCGGAGTGCAGGAGTTGGCAATGCTCGAGGGCCGTGGCCTGAGGAAGGCAGTCAAGCGGCGCGGAAGCAAGCCGCGCGGGAAGAGCGGCAAAGCGCAGGAGTTGGCAGTGCCCCAGGGCCGTGGCCTGAGGAAAGCAGTCAAGCGGCGCAGAAGCAAGCCGCGCGGAAAGAGCGACAAAGTGCGGGAGTTGCCAACGCTCGAGGGCCGTGGCCTCAGGAAGGCAGCCAAGCGGCGCAGAAGCAAGCCGCGCGGGAAGAGCGGCAAAGCGCAGGAGTTGGCAATGCTCGAGGGCCGTGGCCAGAGGAAGGCGGCAGAGCCGCGCAGCGGCGAACAAGCCGAGTGGAGCGCGAGAGGAGGGGCCGAGCCTTCAAAGGCCCAATCGCAAAGTCTGGAAGCCGAAGGCTCGCGGCAAGGAAACTCCTGCGGTTTTGCAAGCAAGAAGCCGGCGATGCCCCGGTCCTTTGCAACGAAGAGGTTGCGGATTGCGACTTGCTGACTCCCGAGGAAGCCGAGAAGGCGTACGGCCTCTTTCTGCGACACTGGGAGAAGTACGGTCTCAGTCGTCTTTGCTGCAAGTGTCGCGTTCTCACTCCGGCCATGCATTGCTTTTTCGATGAGAAAGGCGAGCTCCACTGCAGATATTGCAAGGACCGGCCGGAGAGCCGACCCTTGCAACTTCCGGGCCCCCAGCCGCCGGCCTTGAAGAGCTTGAATTACGTAGAGCAGCGGCTCATTGCCATGGCCAGCACGTCCCAGTACATCGTCAGTTTGCCTTCCGGAGGCGCTTCCGGACAGTGGGGTCGCATGTACGTGGTCCCGCTAGACGAGCCACGCGTTTGCGACGTGCTGGACAACGTGGAGATCACCGAGGGCGGGCAGATTTATGTGAGCGTGGCTGGCGCAAAGCTCCAAAGCCCGGCGAGCCCGTGCAAACTGCGCGCTGCACTGCTGCACTTGCGCGACAACCACAAGTTATACAAGACCGCGGATGTTTCTCGAGCAATTCAAGCGCTGCAGGTCGCGCTGTCCCAGGGCGCCGAAGCAGAGGCCGGAGCCGAGCCCACAGGCGAGTTGCAAGAGGAACAGTTGGAGTTCGTAACCGCGTGCGCGCCTTCGGCCCCGCCGCCGAAGCGACCTGAGCTTCAGCGATGCCGCGACTTGGCGCAGCTTCCCCAGAACATGGCACGAAGATTTTCCCTCACTTGTTTCCAACCGGCCAAGGCGGTTGGGACGAGCGAATGCCTTTTCCGCGCTATTCCAGGTCTCGCCTGCTTGGCGCTGAGCCTCGTTTCGAACAAGACCCGTCCTACGTGCACTTCCTGCTGGAACAGTACTACAAAAGAAAAATCTCTGCGAACGCAAATGTCCGCATCGGGAAGCTGCAGCAGCCGAGCGCGAGTTCCCGCCAAGCTCTGCTGCGAAGCGTCTACACCACCATGCGGGACATTCCCGGCACGCAGCCGTACTTGTTTGCGAAGCGAGGGGTCGCGGTCAGCATGTACGAGCAACTCGGAGCTCCTCACTGGTTCATGACGTTGACTTGCCACGCGCGCCAGGAGCCGATCCTGGCCGCCTGCATTTACGCGAAACTGCTTCGCGACAACGCCGCGCAGGAAAACGGCGGGCGCGGGAAGACGGCGAAAGAAATCAGAACTGAGGTGGCTTCCGTCCTCTACAACTTCATGTCCCACGAGAGTTACGCCTGGCAAGGCTTTTCTGCGAACCAGCTCTGCAACAGTCAGCCTGCGGTTGTAGCCCGACAGTTTTTCCACCAAGTGCGCCAGTTCCTAGCGTGGCTGGCCCCTGCCAAGAAGTTCGACGAAGATCTTTGCCAGGAGTTCCCAGACCAAGACGAGCAAGACCGAGAAGAGCCAAAGGGCGAGGTTGCGGCAGAAGAGGCGCAAGACGCGGAAGCTCCATTTATGACTTCGGAGGCCAAAGCGCAAAAGACGCAGAAGACGCGGCCTCCTTTCCGCGTGATCGACTACATTGTCCGGGTGGAATGGCAGAAGAGAGGATACCCGCACGTGCACATGCTGCTTTGGACCGACACGCCTCTTGCCGCGCAGGCGTCGCAGGCGCGGGAGTGCGAGGACCCGGACTTTTCAGACGAGAACTTTTGCGACGCCTTTGTTCCCGGGACCGTGGAGGACTTGTGCGACAAATTCATCAGCACCACAACGCCTCACCGCTGGAAGACTGTGCACAAGAACGAAGCCATGGCCAAACTGGCGCAGGCCCAAATTCACACCTGCTCCAAATACTGCGGTTTGTTTGTAGAAGGGGCTTGCCGATTTGGCTTTCCAAGGGACGTGCCGCAAGAGCGGACCCGCCTGCGGACTACCCGGGACCAGTGGAGAAGTCGTCACAAAAGCAGCCTGGAAGTGCGTCGCAGAGAAGACGCGGCTAGAATGTGCCAGTACAACTCGCGAGTTTTGCTGAAGTGGCGCAGCAGCATGGATTTGCAGGCTGTCTGCAACCTTAACATCGCGAACAAGTACATTCTGGGGTACACTTTCAAATCAGAAGAGGACCGCGTTGCCCACCTTCGCATGCTCGAGATGGTCGAGCACCTTGCCCAGCAGGATACCCCTCAAGCCCGACTGACATACAAGCTGGCGCACGCTGCTCTGCAAGGTAGAACCACTTCTACGTTCGAAGCTGCTCATCTCTTGCTCAGCCTGCCGATCGTCTTGTTCTCGAGGCACAACGTGTGGGTTCAAGTTGGCCCTCCAGAGACTTGGACCATTTTCGTGCCGAGGAAGGACGAGCGGGAGGCGATCAAGGACCCGAATAAATACGCTGCCAGCGCGCCGCAAGGTTCGGGCGCTTGGCCGGCGCTGCACCGCCGATACTCGCAAGCGCAACTCCTCCACGCGGAAAAAGAGACGGAAGTTCCAATCGAAGGCCAAACAAACCAGAAGGCGAAAATTCCGTGGAAGAAGCTGTCTTTCTTCGACTTCTGCGCTGGGTTTCAGACGGGGGCCAAGACAGCCGAAGGTTTGCCGCCGGCGCCTCGCTCGTCGCCCGCGATTGTCGGGCATCGATCCTTCAACCCGGATCTCGAGGCAGAGGAGTTCTACTACTCCAAGCTGTTGCTGCACTTGCCGTGGAAAGAGCCCGGCGACTGGCTTACAGACAGCGACGGTGGCAGCCACGTGACTGCTTTTCGAAGGATCGTTGCGGATGTCGCGAACCGCCCGGACTTCTTGAAGTCGGTCTGCTTCCCCCAAATGGATGGCGCCGTGGAAGCTGCCAGACAGCTTTTCGCTGTTCAGTTGGATTTATACATCAAGGCGAACATGGCATCCGCGGAAGATGGCTGGGTGAGTGCTTGCGCGGATGAGAGGAAATACCAAGATTCCCTCGCCGTCATGCAGGCCCTGAAGGATCGCCACGGAGGAGAGTTCGAGTTTGACGCCCCCGACGACATTCCCAGCGGACTGGCTAGCGACATGTTCGCGCCCGTAGACGGCGGGGAGGCGGGCTGATGCAGCTTTGAAGTTGTTGGGCCCCAGTTTAAGTCGCGGGGACGTCGATCTGCTGTCGACGCGCGCGCCTCCCGCGCGCAGGAAGCCTTCGCGATGTTGACGGCGAAGAACCCGTCTCCAGACGTGCGGCGACAGCTGCAAGCAATGAACTACGTCGTCTATTCCGTGATGCACGGAGAGAAAACGTTCGACTCCACCTCGTCCCACAGGCTTCGACTCATTATCCACGGAGCTGGCGGCTGCGGCAAGTCTGTGGTTCTGAGGGCGAGCGCGCACAAGCTTCGCGAGAGCGGGCGCGGAGTGGTCATCGCTGCGCCCACGGGGGTCGCTGCGTTCAACATCAACGGCGTCACTTTGCACACGTGCTGCAGCCTCCCTGTCCGCAACAACAGTTACGGCCGCGCAGTCGATGTGCCTCCGCCCCGAGGGGCGCAGCTGGCCAACTTGAAGACCGTTTGGTCCAAGGCGCACGCCCTTTTTATTGACGAGCTGAGCTTCATGTCGGAAGACATGACTCAAAGAATAGACGCCAACTTGCGGCTTGCTCGAGAGATGCCGCATATCCCCTTCGGCGGCATTCACGTGGTTTTGTTTGGCGACCTCTACCAGCTCCCGCCCCCGGGCGGTTTGCCGATCTTTGCGAGCCCGCTGTGGAACCTCTTTGAGCTTTGCGAATTGCGGGGCAATCATCGCGCTGCCAAGGACCCGGAGTGGGCGGCCTTGCTGGCCCGGGTTCGAGTTGGCGAGTGGACGGAAGCCGACGTCGCGGCCATTCGCGCCCGAGTTGTTCGCGAGCGCAACCAGGTCAGGCCGGCCCCCGCGGCCGTCAAGCTCTACGCCACGCGCGCTGCGGTCGCCGAGAGCAACGCGACTTATTTGCAGCAGCGCGTGGCCGAGACCTCAGAGCTAGTTCACGAGCTGCCCGCCGCTGACCGCTACATTCGCACCAACCTGCCGTCCTACCCCGACAACAGCTGGCCGCAAGCAGAAGACACAGGGGGGATGGAGTTGATGCTGCGGCTTGCCACAGGAGTGCGCGTGATGCTCAAACAGAACCTCGACGTCCGAGATGGGCTTGTCAACGGGGCTTGCGGCGTCGTGAAGCAGCTGGAGATCGCGGGCGAGACAGTGCTCACCGCGTGGGTCGATTTCGAGAAGGGCGCTGGCAAGCAATGGAAAGAAGTAAATGGCCGCGCGGAAGTGCGCATCCAGCGAACGACTGCTAGGTTCGCCGGGAAGGACGGCAAGGAAGTCGAGCGCAAGCAGTTCCCGCTCGTTCTGGCGGGCGCGACCACTATCCACAAGAGCCAGGCAGTGACGCATCATTGCGGCGTTCACGCTCGTCTTGACGCCAGCTGCAAGCAAGAGGGGCAGGCTTACGTCGCCATGAGCCGCTGTCCGACCAAGGCCTTGTTCACTCTGGAGTATTTCAGCCCCAAAAGCTTGCGCTTCAACGCGAGCGCGGAGTGGGCGCTTGCCACGTTGAGATGCCAACAGGCAATGCGGCGCGCTGCCCAGGACTCGCAAACCCTGCGAGGAGCAGCGCGACAATTGGAGGAGCTGCGCTGTGCGTTGCTGGTGCCTCAGGAAAGCGCCGCGTCTCTCAAGCGCCGTCTGGAAAAAATGGCCCAGCCAGATTGGAAAGTTTACAGAGAGGCGAGGCTGGCTTCTGAAGGAGAAGTTCAGCCTGCGCGCCCCTGCGTGTGCCCACTGTGCGGGTTTCGTGCGACAGACGACGTCAGCCTCAAGCAACACAAAAAGAACTGCAAACGCGCTGCTCGACGAAAGGCGAAAGCGAAAGCCCAGGCCAAGACTTCGACGCCGCCGCCTCCAAGGCCGCAATCCCCGGCCCAGAGAAAGAGAAAGCTCGAAGAGAGCCGCGCAGATGCGCCTGTGCTGCACGCAAGTCCGAATTCGCGTCAAAAGCGTCGCCTAACCAAACTCGCCTTTCCTGCGACTAAGGAGCCTCCGCCTCTCCGTCCTCGCCGGGCCACGCGGCCGAGGCAGCGCGCTTGCCGCAAGTTTATTTCGAAAGGCAGGAGCGCGCCCTCTGCGGGCTTCACGCCTTGAACAACGCTTTGGGGGCGAAACATTTCTCTAGCAAAGACATGGTCGGCGCGGCGGAGCTGTTCCTTGTGGAAAACGCAGAGCTTTCAGATGTTCTTGCAGATCACGTTGACCAGGAGAACGGCTGGTACTCCATCGAAACAATGTGCACCGCTCTGCGCGCGAAGTCCATGCAGTTATTTGGCAAAGCGACCTGGGAACTGTCGCTCGAGCCAGTGGTGTCCGCGAGCCAGTTGGTCAAGGCAACGGGCGCGGTTCAAAACAGGGAGAACCACTGGGTGGCGTACAAGGCAACTACGCGAGGCGAGTTGCTTCTCTTAGATTCCCTACAGCCGGCGGCGCAACTCATTGCAGAAGAAGAGTTTCTGACGCAGCTGGCTAGCTATCCCGGCACTTACTTGATCGTCAGCGTGTGAAGGAGAGCGGCGCAAGAGGCGCAGTGAGACGTGGCCACGCGCTAGCTTTTGCGCGACAGTATTTTAATGTTTTATAGCGAGCGCGAGAGTGAACAAACAAGGGTGAATTGCGACGCCGCGCCGTGGAGCCTGGCAAGCAGCTGGTTTTCTTCGTTAGGATATTTTTGCGGCGCGCCCCGGCTCGAGTGAATTGCGACGCCGCGCCGTGGAGCCTGGCAAGCAGCTTGTTTTCTTCGTTAGGATATTTTTGCGGCGCGCCCCGGCTCGAGCCTACTCCCATGAAGCGCAGCGCGGAAGAGGCTGCTGATGACCAGCGGCCAGCGCGTGTTCCGCCCGCGAGGGTGCTCTGGCGCGGCACCTGGTGCCTGGCATCGCAGTCGCAACTTGGCGAAGAAGGCTGCTCCGAGTCGCCCTTCGCAGCGGCGTGGCAACAAGCTTCTTTGCCTGCCTGCTGCTCAACTGCTTCTGGCAGCGCTCGGCCGCAAGGAGGCGTTCGAATTCCTCCAGCGGCGCCGTTGTTGCCCGACGAACTTTGCGAGGCCTGGCGCGGCCCCGCTGGCCGCGACGTCAGTTTCCTCGCGCAAATCAACGCCCACCGTCGAGACAAGCTCTTGTTCTTTGATCCTGCGCGGCATGTCTACTACACGAGAGATCGAGCTATCGGATGGTCGGTGACGGCTTTGGTTGCAACGGCGTCCTGCGACTTTAACGCAGACCGAGCAATTCAGAGCATGAAGGATTCCAAGCGCTGGCCGCGTGCTGACTACGTTCGAAACGCAGTGGAGGCAAGGTCAGCTGCGTGCTTGCGTTTCATGCGCTGCGTGCGCCTTGCTTGCCCTTGGTCGACGGAGCACGAATTTTGCGCGGACCACGCGGCTGAAAGCTTGCGTGGCGCGCGAGATGCGCGCGATCCAGATTGGCCAGAGCTAGAAGAAACGTTCGTCATGACGGCGGGCGAAATCAAATCGCGGTGGGCGCAGCAGGCGGCAGAGGCTGCCCAGCTTGGGACTGAGATGCACGTGCGATGCGAGCTCATTTTGAACGGCTGTCGCGGCTGCGCAGACGTTGAGGAAATGCGGCTGTTTGCCAAATTTTTGGAGCAGGGGGCGAAACTGCTCGCGTTCCGCACAGAGTGGGCTATTTTCGCTGACGAAGAAGATTTGGCGGGCACGATTGATTTCGCCGCGATAAACGAAAGCGGCCAGCTCGTTCTCTTTGACTGGAAAAGAACGAAAGATCTGCAGCAGAAGTTCAACAGTGAATGGCGGCGAATGCAGCCGCCGCTTGAGCATCTCGCGACTGTGCGGTTCAACGCTACTACCAGCATTAAAAAACTGCTACAAATTCATCTGCCAAGTATTTACGACGTCGAAGGTCGCTGCGATTGGACGTGGTTGGTCTTCACCCAGACTGCGCGCCGTCGCCGCGCGTCAAAGAAGTGCCTGAGATGAGCGCAGAAATTCAGAGCTTGCTCCGGGCTTGCCGGCGCCAGTCTTGAATTCTTTAACGAAAAGAGCGCAACTGCGACAAAGAGCGGAGAACAGTTGGCTCACGACCTGCTTCTGCAGCTCTGCTTCAGGCAGCGTTGGTCTCGCTCCTGTCGGCTCGCTTGTGTCTGGGGGGGCGTCTGAGTCGTCTGAGACCTTGTCCTTGCCGAAGGATGCTCTGCTGCGCCCGCGCAAATTTCTCGGCCCAAGACCCGCCGGCGCCTCTGCGACTTCTCCTCGCGCCATGTGGTTGGCCCGCGCGCAAGTCTTCGACTTGTTGCTACGCGAACTTCTCGAGCTGCTGGACGGGCGGGCCACGCTTCGCCTCCTGGCGCTTTGCCGGGACGCGCGCAGGCCGGAGTGGGCAGAAAGGGGCGCAGCCGCTCGGAGGCTCGCAGAAGACTTTGCAAGAAGGCCTGCGGCTGCCGGGCTTTCAGTGGCAGGACGTGCTTGAGGTGCGAGCCTGCTGGAAGATCGACACGGAGTGGGAGAACTGCTTCCGCCCGCCTGCTGTCTTGGCTGGCGCCTTCTGCGCGCGGAGCTCGAGCAGGTGTCAGATGCGAGAAAGGTCGACGCTCCTAGGCGCATTCTGCCGGGTAATGGGCCAATCGAACGCTGCGGCGACTCCAACTTGTTCTTACGACACGCTCAGGATGCCGGAAACTTGAGTTCTACCAACCTCGGCCTGCTGCGCACAGGGCAAGCTTGCTTCTTTCTATTTCGCCCAAAATTGAAAATCGCCCCCACCGGCGACTTCCGCGGCGGCATTGCGGACGACGAGGAAGGGAGAACGGAGCCCGCCTGTG